GATCATATATATACACATACATACACATAGATAATAATGATTTTGGATACAGTATCCGATACAGCTCTTGAGCTGGTGAGTTTAGAAGGCCATGGTTGGGAAGCTGACTGATCTTCATTTGAGCCATTGCACTTCAGAGTCACAATCCCTATTCCCAGAAAAGGAGTGTCAAAACGAGCAATGACTCAAGGGAATGGACATGAAATGGACGCTCAAACTTGAAAGTCTCTGTTGGCATTGGAGTCTTTCGTAGGTTCACCAATAGCTTCAACACCAACAATCCTGCCACCGACATGAAGCCTTTGTTCCTCAACGACTATGAGGCTTGCTACATCGGTGATTTGTGACTTGAGTGCCTTTGCCTTTTCCATGCCTCACAGGAACACTTCAAGAGCACACCAGTCTTCATTGGCGAGTACCATTCAACGCACGTGAGCACCAAGAAGGATCGATCTTGTTGGAAGTCATTGTGCGGCAACAGCACACCCTGCACGCTGTCTGAAGGACATCGAGGAAGTGATGGACGTTGTCAAGAACAGTTCTTTGGTTGTTGGCTCAGACAACAGTCTGCATGATCTGCATGCATGACGACAGTCTGTAGCATTTTTGGATACACTTCCGCCTCCCTGGAGATGGAAGGAAACATTTTTCAGGTCGGCATCAGCTTCTTTGAGTTCCAAGTCCGCTACGACAAGGGTGGCTCGGAGATGGATTTTGGGATGTGCGTGTCTCAGACTTCCGGCACATTCACCACAGAGTCTATACACAGAACATCAAGAGCGATGGCCTCCAACCTGCTAGTGATGGCCACTCAAGTGTGTAACTCTGATGTGAACTCTGATGTAACTTGGGATTTCTACTTTCATCACTTGGTGGATCAGAGGACTTGTGACATCAGACTTTGAAGACGGGTTCTTCCGGTGCTTCCATCTTGGATGGACCCGAAGCCCTCAGGTTTGGGCTTGGCCAACAAAAGATCACGACGATGGACTTTTTTGGTGTAGAATTCCCTGTGTGGTCGAGGGCTTGGGATTGCGAGTTCTCAGTCTCAGTGTCTCTAGAGGGTGAATGTGCTCGGATTACTCTCACAGTTTCCAATGTCAACTTGTTTGTCTTTTTTGTCACCTTCTCGAGTAATTATATATATATATATGCAAAGCGTTCAACTGCCCCGAGTGATTCGGGCGGCAGCATGCTGTATTCTAAATTCTGCTCTGGAAGTGTCAGTTTGCTGAAGTTGCTCGAGGTGTTTGATGAAGATGCAAGACAAGAAATCACCAGGGGAAACAGTGGTGGATGGATTGGCATCTGCATTCCAAGGCGTTGGACAGTCAAAAGGGGCAAGTATACCTGTCTTGTTCCAAGCATTTCCCAGATGCTTTTTCACTTGTCACTTTGGCAGGTGCTGGGATCAGCGACGAGGAACTTTGTGTGATTGATCCAGAAAAGGCCGGCATGCTGAGCTCTTGACATGAGCTTGGGAGCAACCTCGTAGAGTATAATTCTCAGTACAACTTGCATATAATGCTTGTACACATGTTTTCTTTTTTGCAATCCTGCCATTCCTTCAGAGCTTTTGCTTTAGGTGCCGCTTTCGGAGGATGGCTACCAATCGATCCGTTCTCTGAAGAAGATCGATAAAATGGTTGATTCCTGAGATGGTTCGATTTCTGCAACGGACAACCATTGATGTCATGATCCTTCCATTGCTTAGTGAAATTAGCTAGAGTTGTTGACTGATATGTAGTGCAGAAGAGTCCAGGAACACTGTTTTCTTTTTTACAATTTGTCATTGGTTAAGTTTCCCGAAAAATCTAGAAACCAAATCATTAGTGCGAGCGCTTCTTCAAGGAAGCTTCCCCCGCCGCCTTTAGGGCGCCTACTTGATTACTCGCTACTATACTACTATATGGCTACCTCTCCCTTACTTAATTAAGTAGGTGCCTACTTAATTAAGTAGGGAGGGGGGGGAGCGGGCTTTAAACAAAACTGTTTGCATGCCGATTCCAGGCCGCTTTTGTGTCGCGGGTCGTTCAGCACTTGGGAGGTGTGATCCGAGGGGTGCGCTAAAAAGAGTTGAACAAACGCTTGTTCCACAAGGAGTGCATTGTTTGCTTCTCTTTGACAAGGAGTTTCTCTTTGTAGGTAGTTTCAGACTGGAGAGCCAGTCTGCCAGTCTGTGTGACCTGCTCCTTTGAGGCGTTGTCTCGGATCAGAAACAATTGCAGGACTTCGCGCAAAAGTTTGCACCTGAGTGTTTTGTGCTTTCGTGTCCTGTTTCCGCTTGGCCAAGCGGAATGGTCCATGGTCACTTTACCAGCAATCACCGGAGAGTCAGGTACATGACGACGGAGGCCAAGGCTTGTGATCTTCCAGTAATCCTAGTTGAAAATTTGATGAGATGCACGATTCTACTCCTTAAATGCATACAGAATCCTCAGACTGCCGGTCACTGCCGGTGCTTTGCCAGCAGACATGACCTGCTCTTTCTTCACCCGAGGTGTATGTGCGCAGGCTGTCGCAGCTTGACGCAAGCTTCACATCCATGGTGAGTGAACTTAGCCTGAATCCTGGCGTGTCTTTATTCATGTGTATTTCTCTTGTCATTGTGACCGTTAGTCCACTTTTTAAAGTCTTTTCCATTTTTGTCAAATAACCAGCATTTTTGCACCGAGGTCAGCACCCATCATGGGTTGACTGGGATGTTTGGCCCTTGGGACCACCGTCCTTTTAAGTTTCTCCGATGTGCAGAGACCAGGCAAACGCCGCTTGCATTGCAGATCGAGCCTCCGACGAGGGCAGCATCGGAGAGGCCTGGAAGGATATGTTTGCACCAAGCATGTCGACATTTCAGCTACTTTCTGGGACAGATTCGGAGAGAATTTGGGACTTTCATGGGTAGAATTTGGGTGGTACCTTTTCGGCTTTTGGAGATGTGAGAAATGAACGGCGAGGCCGTGGGTTATGTCTGTGGAGAGCTGACCAGCTTCAACTGCACGGACTTGCCCAGTTTCTGCAGTGAGGCATGGGATTTGGAGTTGAACTCCCTCGGGTACTAGTAGCTTCTTGTTATTAGTAGTACTTAATGCACTTGTTACTTGTAGCGATGCCCTTGTTACTAGTAGCTTCTAGCTAGTAGTAATGCCCTAGCCACTAGCAGTGTCCTTGCTACTAGTAGCGAT